GGCCTTTTGACAAGAAGGAAATGTTGCTATACCGTCTTCATTGAAGTTTACCTGGCTCACGCCTAAGGAAACTTAGTGCTGTCATTACCCGGACGGTAGGTAGGTGGGCCATTCTCTTCAATAGGGGTAGTGGTGGCTGGTTGAAAGTCCACAGTGCTTTGCTATGGCGAGACCACTGCAGCCATGTGCGAACCATTCACCCCATGCACGGGCGACAGGTCCTCAGGACAGAACTTCATTCCCTTCCTTTGCTAGGCGTGCACACATCGACCATGACGAGATTGAGTGCCATCACTCGCACGCCTACGTAGACTCTCGGCTGGCAATAGCCATCGCATGACAGAATGCCGTTCCTTCTTTGTTGCGATTTGCTTAAGGTCTTCGTTAGAACCATTTCCGCTGCCGGGAAAGCGGGTTTGGCTAAGGTAGGGGGACGGTATTTGCAGTGAAAGTCGTCGAATGTTTCCCTTCCACTCTCATGGGCACCAGCAGGACGGGTAAAGGGCGTTTTCTAAGTCAGGCATCACAGTTTAACGCAGTGTCCTCAAAGTTCCCCCTGACTGGGTCCTGCCACATTTTGTGTGCATTCATGTTTTTTTTTCTATTTTTAATTTTGATTTTGTTTGGGAATTCGCAGGTTTCAAGTCATCTATCAATGCGGTGTGTTCGCTTCGCGTTCTTCCCTGAAACTCTGCCATGTGAAGGAGATTTGGGCTCTTGCCTTGATGCAGGTAAAGCATCACACGGCGTGCGCGTCAGTCCTCGATACCGTTGGCACCTGAACGAGTGATATGTAAAACCACAACACTAGTTATTTATTGGTCTTTACCAGACAAGCAGTTTTTCCACTCATTTTCATGTAAAATCAGCGGAGTTAGGGAGTACTTTCCTCTATTACTACCTTTAGGGTCTCATGTTCGTCCTCTTCCTCATACAAGCTATCTTGCCCTTTACAAACAACATTGGGGCCTTCTGTGGTGTCGTCTTCTTTGAGGGCAGCCTCGGTGGTCTCGCCTATGTCAACACCTTTGACCTCGTTCTCAAGACAGTACGTCCGACTTCCACTCTGTATTCCTCTTTACGACAAATGAAGCACCTCGTCCCACGGGGTGCGGCAACTTCAATGCCTCAACATTCACAGAGGAAATAATTTGGGTGTCAATTACAAAATTTTGCAGTGCCTAAAAGGTAGTGGTGTTGAATGATTGATGACTGTTTCGCCACACCGACAAACACATGCACACGCCCACAGTAATCAGCGCATGGGTGAACGCTGATGAGTGTGGCTTTGGCGAATCAGTTCTCGCTTCTCAATGCCAATGCTAGCGATGTAGCGAGCGAATGACGGCCTCTTCGCCACTCTCCCACTTTGTTAGTGAGGTGGGAGCTGCGAAACGCCGCCTTGGCATAAGGTTCAGGAGTGAACAGGAGTGTTTTGCTTTATCTTGCCACACTTGTTGCATGAGTGGGAAAGGAATGTTGTCCACTGTTAACTGTTGGGCGAATGCAGGTTCCTGCTGAGCCTCAGGTGAATGCAGCTTGGCATTGGGTGGCGTGCAACTCCCAATTGATTGTATCGTCGTAGCTCTACAAAGTAGGGACTGCCAGAAAGAGGAGACTCTCGATGTCGCCTCACCTCCATCGTGTTCCGTGAGGTGTCTCATTCACTGTGATACCACTTGTTTGAG